GACAGGGATGATTTTAAAAATTACACTTTAACAGTAATGCATTGCTACAGCTTTTCCTGATAGAACAACAAGAACATTTATGGAACAGTGTGCTCAGAAAAACGTTGCTTTTCTATTTAATTTAAATATTATATAAACATTTTCTTAATTATACGCACATATAAAAGACACAGAATATAGACAGCTGAAGAAATCTATAGAATGCAGTATATTCTTATCCCATTTTAACAACTTAGTGTCTCAAGAAAAATAACCAAGTTGAAAACCAGATCTTTCAGAAAAAAACAAACTCCACCTGCAAATAGGATAGGTATAGCTTAAAAAATAAATCTATAGTGAAATGTAATTAAACATTCCAGGAACAACAAGGTAGAGAATTATATCGAGTAAGAATATTTAGAAATTCCTTCCATGTGACATAAACACTAAACTACAAATACAGTTTTATGAAATCCTACCCCTTTGAAAACAATTTAACTTACTTTTCAGTAAGTGTGCTAAAACTAAGATTGTAATTAACCTGCATTCTGTTTCAGGTAAATTTTCTACTTTTTATTAAGTCGAGTAGCACTGAAAGATCAAATTCTAAATGTGCACAAAAACTTATTTAATAGCACACACACGTTCATAGCTATCATACCTTTTGTCAGTTGTTTCAAAAACTTACACATTGGTTTAACTCCTGTACTGTATGTTTACTTGGTAGTAAGTATGAATCAGTATACAACACTTCATAATAAGCATGATTACAGCCTAAAAGACAGCCTCTTCTTTAATCTAACTGAAAATTAAAACATTGTCCCAAAACATAATTATATGAACAAAGATAAATATAAATGCAAATGAATCATAACAGCACTGTTAATTCAAGCAAACAAATTTGTAATTTGGAAATAATCACATACGGTACTGATGTTTTTAGTACCCCTAAAATATAGTAAGAGGGCAGAGAAAGTGATCTTCAAAGAATTTAATGTCAGCCTCTAGCTCAGAATATTTCTCAAGTTATTTATTAAGAACAAAGAAAAATATAAGGATTACCATTTTTTCCATAGTAGAATTCTTCCTTCTTAGCCATTTTCTGATTCTTCACTCTAACCACTACCTTGTCAGGAAGAACAGTTTGTACAGTGAACTTATGTCCACAAAATACTATTTGCCCAGGTTTAAAAATAAAGCTAACTGAGTGACGCATAAAGTCATCCAATCAGGACAAAACTAAAAATGGGGGCAGGACTTCTGCTTTCTGAATAGTTGTAGCATCTCATGCCAAAATAAGGCTAGTGCTATAAATGTGGTGCAAATGTGATGCAATAGAAACACTATGCTATTTTAATTAAAGATCTCTTTTCCAACCCATATAAAAAGAAGCTCAAATTGAAACCACCATAGCCAGTACTAGTACTCAATATAGTGTTTCTATCATTACAAATCATTTTGAAATTCACCAACTGTTGTGTTAACTGTGTGCATGTCCGCAACTATTTTGATTATTCATTACAGTAGAGATAGAAGGCATTTCATTCATCCACATTCCAGACATTTTGCTTAGAGTATTCTGAAATAATTTAATATATTAACAGTTGGAATAGCCAACTGTTAATATATTGTATTAACAGTTTGGTATGTTTCATCCAGTGGTCAAGCCACCAGGCTAGAAAGCAGGAGACTGTGAATTCTAGTCCTTATGCACAAAAGGCAGCTGGGTGACTTTGGGCCAGTCACTCGCTCTCAGCCAACTCATCTCACAGGTTTGTCATTGTGGGGAAAATAGGAGAAGGAGGAGTATTAGGTACTGTATGTTCACCACCTTGAATTATTTATAAAAATAATAAAGGCGGGATAAAAATAATCTAAAAAAAATAGTATTTCTTTTTGTATTTTCTAAGCTTTTTTTTTTTTTTTTTTACTGCAAGTCACATGCTGGCTGTGATCTATGTAATGCAGAATGGCAATTTACACTGACATATAATTTCAGTTTCCTCCATTTCAGGGAAGTCATAAGATGCTAAAAGTAAAGCCTACCTACCAATAACACAACAGGTACAATATAACACATTACATTAAAACCTTTAAATTAATTTTAAAATGATGGAAAATTGACATGTGGGTTTCTCAATCCAGATGGCTAGACTCTTTGCAGATAATTTTCCTCTCCACAGGCCCCTTCGTCTTTACATCAACAGTAGCCAATGTCTTGACAAGCTTGTTGTCAATCAAAAGCAATGGTGGCATTCAAGTATATTCCAGAAGAAAGCTGATCAAGTCTTATCTTTAGTCAGGGCCCAAGCAAAGAGGAAGGACTACTTTAGTTGGGTACGGGGATGAAGAACGGGGGAGACCAGACTGTAATAACAAGAAAACAACTGAGGCTAACATACTTAACAATATTTATAGGGATTTAATTTCTTAGAGATTATGCATCTGCTGTGCAGGACTTGTGAGATCTGTTGGAGCCAATAAAAGGCCCATAATAGAAGACAACAACATTCTGAATAATTACTTGCTTTCTCTAGAATAGCAGTGCTTTGTTCTTTCCTATGCTGAATCAAAAACTATTAATCTCAAAATTTGTTAAGTAGAGGAAATGTTAAATACTAAGTGCTTCTGAGATACACGCACACACACACACACACACAGGTAGTCCTCACTTAACAACCATTTGTTTAGTGACTGTTTGAAGTTGCAATGGTGCTGAACTGGTCCTCACCCTTACAACCATTGCAGCATCCCTGCGGTCACATGATCATGATTTGGGCACTTGGCAACCAGCCCGCACTTACAACGGTTGCAGTGTCCCGGGCAAAATCAATGGGGAACTGCATGATTCACTTAACAACGTGATATTCACTTAATGACCATTGCAAAAAAGGTTGTAAAATTGGGCATGACTCACTTAACCACCACCATAGTCAACAATGAATTTTCTGGGCCTTATTGTGGTCATTAAACAAGGACTACCTGTATCTGAAATTGTTACTGTTGTTAAAAATGGTTTTCATTTCTCTTTATAATAAGGTGAACAAATTATAAGCCTGACTCTAGAAATTGTAATCTCAGCCTTCAATTATACATTACAATCATATAAGCTAAATTGACCTTTATGTCAGTGCTATTATAGAAGTATTAGAATAAAGTTAGAGGTAAGCAAATTGGTACGGGTGTAACCTACCATGCTACAGTAAACAGGAGACAATAAAGAAAGAATTCAATATATCAGATATTTTCCCTCAGAATGTTGTGTCATCATGTAACTATGTTGCAATCACTCCCTGGCATAACCTACTTCAAAATAAATCAGGCCTGGAGGGATATTATCCAAGTTTAATAAATTCCATTCGAGAATAAAATTCTCTTGGTGAGATTCCAAATGATGCCATCTGTTGCCCTAGAGGACAGACTGTCTAAGATCCCATATAATTATTTTGTTATTCTGGGAGCAGCTAAATAGATTTACGTGACCACATACTGATAGAGAAAATGGAGTGTAAGGACCTCATGGGCTTTCAAGAAATTGCAACAACTGGACTTTCTTCCAAAAACAAATTACACCTTTTAAATAGTTTTAAATATAGACTTGCTACCAATTTATTGATATTATAAAAATCACATGTGGGATCTGCAATGAAATGTGATACAAAATGTTCCCATTCATTGTTTGAGTTAAATCAGCCTTGTTTCCCTACAGGATGCTCCTTTCTGCCTTCCTTGCCAGCTTCCTCAATTTTCAGTCAGCATTCTGAGGGAAAAAACACTCCTTTGTTTGGGACACGGCCTTTCCTTTTTCTTCTTTTCCCTTCAATCCTGCTGTTCTGCTTCCCTTGTGCATGAATAAAGTCTTACCTACATATGCAGTGCAGCAACAGTGGACCAGCAGAAAGAGAAGGAATGGCAAACAGATTTTATTAAGTATAACACACATGATTATGCTAATCTAATTTTCAGTATTTTTACCATTTTGTTTCACTGTATGGTTTTAAAAGCACTTCTGGATAAGTTATAATGGCTAATGATTGAATCAATACAATGAAACCAAATATTTATTGGAGAATGCTTAGTTTTAGTTTTATGTTATGAGTCTCCATTAAGTCCAAGAAGAAAAGCAAAGAGAATATTTAGTGTCTTTTATTATTTTTGTCAGTTGCAGAATTGGTAAATTTCTGGGTTTAAGACAGTGAAGTCTTCCCAATGCCTATCTCTAATCTGGCCTCTCCAGATGTGTGTTGGATTACACAAATGAGAATTCTCAGCTAGTATTCTGCTTGTTAACGTGGGGGATTTTAGCCTCTAGCACTTCTGAAGAACACAGAAAGACAACACGTAGATTTCAGTCTGAAAATAGACTGAGTAGTGGCAAAATTGTCCCAATTTTCAAGAAAGGGGATGGGGTGATCCTACCACCTATTGACCTATGAGCTTGCCAAGTATTATCAGCAAGCTTTATGCATGCCATTTGGACTGGAACCTCCAAGAATGGCTGGCAAATGAAACTATTGGGATCTGTGAACAGGTGGAGTTGAGACCTAACACAATTTTATTTACACATTTTTTTGCATACTATATTAGAGAAACATATTCAGTGTGGTATTTACGTCATTCATAATTTTAACATACATGGTGAGAGTTGATACAAACAGCAGCTCTCATGATAGATAAAATTACAAGTGAGATTGTGAATGGTAAAGTATGTTCCTAGAGAAATAAATATGAATAATTCAGACATATTAACATTTGTAGTTGTATGACTTTGTGCCAGACATATATAAAATAACCAAATTCAATATTAGTCAGAACTGTCATCATAGCTCTACACTACAGTGTGAGGAAAAGAATAAAACACTAAAATTATCAGCAGAACCATTATCTGTAATAAACTCTTGACCATTTATGAATCTGATAAAGGTTAGGTTTTCCATATATACTTAAAAATAGTTAAAGGAAAAATAATTTGGTTATTTGTGTATCTTTGTCAATTAGATATATGTCAAAAAGCCAAAGGTCTCTTTTCAGAGCAACTGAAACTGTAGTTATGTAATGCATGCCACATATAAATAAGTAGCTGGAAGGTCTTTAGTTTGTTTTATTGCGGGACAAACTATAAAGTATATTGCAAACAAAAGATTGACAAACATGGGGGTGGGGGGAAATCACAAATCATAATAAGCATGTGTTATTTAACAATGTTTTGTTGAACAGACTAAAATTAATTGGGTTTACAAAACATACCAAGCCAAAAATAAACAAATTCTTGATGGTATAATGTGGTATGTGAATCCAATTACTAAACTATAATTAAAAGTTATCAACT